TTCTTCTGAAATGTTTCACTGTTAGATCAGGGCCCAGTCTTGAGGAAACAGCATCTATTTTTTAAAGAAATTTAAACACTTCCTCTTTTATATTTATAGGCCTTTGAACAAATATCATACATTGTTAAGAATGTAAAACAATATATAAGAAATCAAAACATTCCATTAAAAGGAACAAACCGTTTTACCTCCTTTCTCTTTTTACAGGGAAAAAAAAAACTGCACTTAGCTTTTGTATTATTTATTATTTCATAGTGTCTAATAAGGCCATGAGAGCTGGACACCTAACAAGGTTTTTGACACTTGAGCACTTGAGGAATCAATCAATCAATCAATCAATCAATCAATCAATCAATCAATCAATCAATCAATCAATCAATCAATCAATCAATCAATCAATCAATCAATCAATCAAATCCTATCCCATATTTCAACACATAGAACCATATTATGCTGTAATTCTTTTAGTGCGGAGATCTTCAACAAGGCATCCGCGGCCCCTAGGGGGTCCACAGAGATACTGCATGGGTGTTGGGAAAGTTTTGGTTGATTAGACTTTCTTTTTATATCCCCCCCTGCAATTTCTCCACTAATTGAAATGTCTTTAAATCCACATTTACATGAATTCAACACACTGCAGTAAACAGATAAATGGAGGCAGAAGATGTTTTTCAGTCATCAATGCACACATTCAGCGACACACAGGAGCTCTTTCAAGCTGGGCACCGTTTCATTCACACCACCTGTCCCATCAACCAGGATTTAGAATCAGAAATACTTTAATAATCCCAGGGTAAAATTACGTTCATTACAGGACTCCATCTGTAATAGAGTCAGTATAGGACTAGTTTGATATAACACAATTTCATACAATATATATAATTAGGGGGTCCCGCTCCATCTCACCTTCAGTTTGGGGGTCCTTGGCCAGAAAAACATTGAAGACCCCTTTTTTAGTGTACGTACGTATCTCCCAGTTTTACTCATCTAGAGATTAAAAGCTCTGTCTTTGAGAGATCTTTCTTTGCAAAATTGCATTTACTCTCAAGCAGTTAGGTGAGAGTACAGCCTTAATAAGCAGTGATCAGCTCTTGCCACTTATTCATAATTTGATTTAGGTCTTAACTTTGACTGGGTTGCTATTACAGAGACACACAACCATTAACACACATGCCTGTAAGAAACTTAGTTATTTTGTTAAATCAAAAGTGTTATCAAAAGAAGTAAGCATACACGTCCTTAAACAGTTTGAAAATCCCAAATCACATCATTTTGAAGTGTTGGATAATGATAATAAATACTATTTTAAGCGTTTGAATTATTATGAGCTGCACTCTGGGTATGTAGTGTCAAAAGCCTTAAACATGGCTTTCTGTCACAGTCTTGGTTCTGTTTTCTTTTCTTTTCAGTATTCAGTTTTACTTTGCTCCATGTTTTGTGGTTTTAATGGTTTATTCTTATTTTGTTGTGTTTTCTGCTTATATTTCAGTTTTCAGGTTTTTATTTGTTGCCCGCTGCTGCCTTCTTGTGCTCTCCTTTTTCCCTAGCTCCTTTCTAGTCTGCTCTGTTCACACCTGCTCACAATCTGCTTGTTAGTCCTCTCTTTGTTCAGTCTCCCATAAATACAGGTGCTGGTCATAAAATTAGAATATCATGAAAAAGTAGATTGATTTCAGTAATTCCATTTAAAAAGTGAAACTTGTATATTATATTCATACATTACATACAAACTCATATATTTCAGATGTTTATTTTGTTTAATTTTGATGATTACAAATGACAACAAATGAAAATCTCAAATTCATCATATCAGAAAATTAGAATATTGTGAAAAGGTTCAAAATTGATGGCCCCTGGTGCCACACTCTAATCAGCTAATTAACTCAAACCACCTGCAAAAGCCTTTAAATGGTCTTTCAGTCTAGTTCTATAGGCTACACAATCATGGGGAAGACTGCTGACTTGACAGTTGTCCAAAAGACGACCATCGACACCTTGCACAAGGAGGGCAAGACACAAAAGGTCATCGCTAAAGAGGCTGGCTGTTCACAGAGCTCAGTGTCCAAGCACATTAATAGAGAGGCGAAGGGAAGGAAAAGATGTGGTCGAAAAAAGTGTACAAGCAAGAGAGATAACCGCACCCTGGAGAGGATTGTGAAACAAAACCCCTTCAAAAATGTGGGGGAGATTCACAAAGAGTGGACTGCAGCTGGAGTGAGTGCTTCAAGAACCACCACACACAGACGTATGAAAGACATGGGTTTCTGCTGTCGCATTCCTTGTGTCAAGCCACTCTTGAACCACAGACAGTGTCAGAAGCGTCTAAAGAGAAACAGGACTGGACTGCTGGTGAGTGGTCCAAAGTCATGTTCTCTGATGAAAGTAAATTTTGCATTTCCTTTGGAAATCAAGGTCCCAGAGTCTGGAGGAAAAGAAGAGAGGCACTTCATCCACGTTGCTTGAAGTCCAGTGTAAAGTTTCCACAGTCAGTGATGGTTTGGGGTGCCATGTCATCTGCTGGTGTTGGTCCATTGTGTTTTCTGAGGTCCAGGGTCAACGCAGCCACATACCAGGAAGTTTTAGAGCACTTCATGCTTCCTGCAGCTGACCAACTTTTTGGAGATGCAGATTTCATTTTCCAACAGGACTTGGCACCTGCACACAGTGCCAAAGCTACCAGTACCTGGTTGAAGGACCATGGTATCCCTGTTCTTAATTGGCCAGCAAACTCTCCTGACCTTAACCCCATAGAAAATCTATGGGGTATTGTGAAGAAGAAGATGCAATACACCAGACCCAACAATTCAGAAGAGCTAAAAGCCACTATTAGAGCAACCTGGGCTATCATAACACCTGAGCAGTACCACAGACTGATCGACTCCATGCCACGCCGCATTGCTGCAGTAATACAGGCCAAAGGAGGCCCAACTAAATACTGAGTGCTGTACATGCTCATACTTTTCATGTTCATACTTTTCAGTTGGCCAACATTTCTATAAATCCATTGTTTTTATTGGTCTTCAGTAATATTCTAATTTTCTGATATGATGAATTTGAGATTTTCATTTGTTGTCATTTGTAATCATCAAAATTAAACAAAATAAACATCTGAAATATATGAGTTTGTATGTAATGTATGAATATAATATACAAGTTTCACTTTTTAAATGGAATTACTGAAATCAATCCACTTTTTCATGATATTCTAATTTTATGACCAGCACCTGTACACTCCTGGTGCAGTTCCTCAGTGCTGGTTCCTTGTCAAACTTCAACCTACACCGTCTTACAGTGTCTTACCTCATTATGATTGTTTTTCCCTGATCTCCCCCATGGTTTCTGGTTTGTTTAACATTTTTGTTGTTGGATTTTTTTGGATTCCTGCCTCAGTTGTTTGTTTACCTGCATTAAATCTACAAAAACTCACCTCTGCCTCCCTGCCTCTGCATTTGGGTCCACAAACCTCAACCCAATCCTGACACTTTTATTTAATTGTGCCTTATAGAAATAATTATCATAATCAAATTGAGCAATAGAAGGCCATTTTTAGTTTTTTTTTGTCAGACAATGGGAGAAAAATTCTGCTTCTTATACAAAGAATATTTTGTTTCATTGTATAGCTTTAATTAAAAAAGCTTAGAAGCTGTTCTTCACTCTAACAGGGCAGCTGTACAGCTTTTCATCATCCTTCAGTGAGACCACACCACTACTGATGTAAAATACACACTTAATATCCATGTTGCTGAAACTTTTGCTTTAAATCCTCCCCTTTAATTTCGCCTTTAAACTCTCTGACACAGGAAAAGAGCTAACTGACACGACCTGTGTTCACTTGAATTCATGTAGGAATGACTTCAGGAAAATGAATAATTAAAGAGGAAGACATCTTCTGTGGTGTTGGATGCTGTTCTTTTCCTAGGTGGTATAGATTTGTTTTTAGCTCCTAAATATCTGCAAAATTATAGAGCTCAAAATTAACACCAAAAGGGTAAACTGATCTGGGAGCAAGGGCTCCTATACATCTCCTTACATAGATGCAATGTGTAAATATGCATTAAGGCCCTTAGGAAGAATTTCAGTGGGAAGTCAGTGTCCGATTTAGCTTTGAACTAGAATGGGATTTATTTGGAATTGATGTGACACAGCAAAACAGAGGACTGAGAATTCAGGCAAGACAGACAGTGGAATAACTTAAAGCATGTATTGAAACAAGCAGACAGGATCTGCAGTGGCAGCGGCCACAGCAGCTAGGGCGTCTGAGGGAGGAATGTCTGGTTTGACAGTTCAGCCCATGTCCAGAGAACGAGGAGGATTACAGCCAGTCGGCTGACAAGACACAGCAGACGCTGCCAGAGAGTTCCAGATGCGGTAGCATAGAAGGCTGCATAGCTGATAGGAGATAAGATCCGAGCAGACGAATGAAGGCATGATAATCCACACGGCGAAGTCAAAAGGCAGATCCAGTTTCAGTCCACAGTATAGTCCAACAAGATTCCAAATATAGGTCAGGAAAACAGATTAATAAAAGGGCAGGCAGGGCCAAAGGTCCAAATACAGAAACCGATCAGGATCAAACAATCAGAACACCATAATAATGCTAGAGAACTCTAAACACCTACGGCTTAAGAATAAGCTGGTACTGACCGCTGTGAAACTCATAAGGTATATATATATATATATATATATATATATATATATATATATATATATATATACTTTTGAAAACCAGAAGCTTTGCTAAAAGGTACGGCACATATTAAACCTGCCCAAATATTGCTGTTCACCTAAAGTGAAGTTATAGAACTTTAAGTTAACACAGCCTTTGGTACCCACTGGCAAAACTAAGTACCTCTGGAGAAGTTACACAGATTTGCTGTTGTCTGTTGACATAATCATGTGACAACCTGCTTGTTGCACAGAGCTGGCTGCACCGTTATTCATAAACCCTCCTGCTTCTTCACAGCTCAAGACACACCTTCTTTACGCCCATTTAACACATGCACTTACCTGATTGGTCCGCTGTTCAATCTGACTCCTAGCTCCAGTTTGAAAATGTCAGTGTCTCAGCAGACAGCGTAACAGAAACAGCTGCTGCTACTACGTCTGCATATTCCGTTCTATCGACCAGTAACAAAGTCAGTCCGAGGCCGTTTAATCCCTCGTGCTTTCAGTATTTTGCCACTGTTCTGGATCCCACCGATCATTAAGGAAAAGGAGAAAACCAAACAAACAAAGAAACTTCATTCTGTGCTCCTGCCGTGCTGACGTGTCATCACAATTACCCGGAAGCCGGTGACATCACAGTTAAAGGTCCTCCGTAAGTGCTATACTTACTGATAATATAAATTAATAATTTTGCCCCATTACAAAAAATAAAATAAATTTTAAATATATTCATCTAGTGAAACCAACAACAGAAAACCTGTTCCAGCGCCTGCCTCTGAGCAAGATTATTTTCTCATCAGACCTGTAAGTCCATTCTATGTATGTTTGTTTGTGCTGTTTTTTTTATGCAATTGTAGGACTTTTGTTGTGTATAGACACTTATGTTTTTTATTTTCTCTTGTTATTTCACAGCTCTTGCTGTGGGGCAATCTATATTGGAGCCCTAATCCGTTGGATTATAATGGACATTTATTTTTGGAGAAGAATTTTGTGATTATTTTTTGATGGCTATATATTTATTTTTCTTTTTGAAATACAAGGACTGTTAAGCCTAATTTTTTGTTGTCTTTTTGTGAAAAGTTTTCATTCCTTATTTGTAGGGGTCTACACACGCAAAAAGTGTATGGTCCTTGTGTGACTGGTTTAAAAATCTATATATATTGATCCTACTTGTCAGGAGGGATACCTGACTGGCACCGCTAAAAAGTGACAAATACCCTGTTAAATAATTAACCTTGTAAAAACCGTCACATAAAATATTGGCACCTAACATGGGACATCTCCTCCCGCTCCCTTAGATCCTCCTCCTCCATCCACCTCACTGTACCCCCAGCTCGACTTGTCACCATGGGGAGCAGAGCCTTCAGCCGCTCTGCTCCCCAGCTCTGGAACTCACTTCCTCCCGACCTCCGCAGTATTGACTCTCTCCCCTTATTCAAAGCCAGACTCAAAACCCATCTGTTCCAGCTCGCTTATCTGTGAATACACTGCTCTTTTCCCTATCCATAATTGTTTTTTTGTTCTCTGTTTTTTTATGTTCCTGTATCTGTATTTTGTATTTTCATCTCTTTTTATTTATTTTTTGTATTATTTGTAAAGTGACCTTGAGTGTCTAGAAAGGCGCTGTTAAATAAAATGTATTATTATTATTATTATTATTATCTTTATTTCACAAATAAGGGAATGACATTTTGAGCACTTAGACAAATAAAAAAAAAATATATATATATATATAAAAAAAAAAATAATAAAAAAAAATAATAAAAATATATAAAGAAATAAAAATATAACAAAAAAATAAAAAATGAGCACTGAAGAAAATATAATCGAGCCCCCTTCAAACACTTCATCCCCTCCAATGATAATGCCTCCTAATCGTTCCACAGCATACTCTCTCCTAGACATGGAGTTGACTGGTCTGGATTTGGTGTTGGGTTCTCCTTTATCACCACAGCCTCCTCCGCAGGTTCAAGCAGAGACAAAGGCTGCACCAGAAGTTCTGGACCTAAAAGCAACCATGGAGGAAGTAAAGTCCTGTTTTAAAAAGGAGATGAGCAATATGAGAGATTCAACAATAAAACATGTGGAGGAAATCATTCAAGTCAATGCAAAGAAACAATATGAACGCATGGACTCACAGTTTGAGTATTTACTCACACAAACAAAAGCAACCCTTGGCTGGAGATTGAAGAATCAACAAACTGAGCTGCTAAAGGAATTCAGCAAGCTACTTGTCCCGGTTACAACCAGCATTTCCACTTTGCAAGATGATGTTTCTCGCCTAAAGGGAGAGCTCATGTCTTTGCAACTATCCATAAAGACTATGACTGAGGACATTAGAGCCAGAATCAAACCAGCTCAAACCTGTCAACAGAATACAGAAATGGATCAAACTGTACAGACAATCTACCATAGCCTACCAGAAACAACATCACTTACCAGCAAACCCCGGTGGGAATCTACTGCTCAGCCTGGGATGACAGGTGTCCAAGTAGCCTGGACTGACTTCCGAAGACAGTTCCAGGCTGCTTTTCTTTCTGAAGATTATGAGGATGAGCTTGCAGAACGTGTAAGGACCAGAGTCCAAGGAGAGAATGAAAGCATCAGGGATTTTGTGTACATGTACCAATCCCTATGCAGACGCTGGAAACCACAAATTTCGGAGGAAGAAATTGTCAAGCTGCTTCTGAAAAACATAAATCCAACACTGGCCAGTCAGCTAAGGAGTAGTAGGCTAACTACTGTGGATGAACTTGTCCACCTGGGACAACAGCTAGAGAAGGATCGAGAACATCAGCAACAGTATGAGTACCGGAAACAAGCAAGTTTACCATCTAAAATAAATGAACCTAAACCTCATGACAATGAAAACACAGTAAGGCAAAGACAACCAAATTACAACCGAAATAACAATCGGCCACACCAACCATTCTGCTGGCGTTGTAAAGGAAATCATCCTCCAGCAACTTGCCCCCATGGTGGTAACAATCGATCATTTTCTCCAAACCTCCCTCAGCCAAGTAGCAGTTCATCCCAACTCCCATCAGCTCAAAGTTCAGCGACTCTTGGTTCCCTCACAAACTCTCAACTTCTGGACCAAACCTGTTCTCCAGCCACATCAACAACTAAACCTCTGCCTTCTCAGTTGATGGTTCCCATCACCGTCAGTTCCTGGAAAGGAGCTGCTATCTTGGACACAGGTTCTTCTTATACTCTGATGAATGAGAGAGTATGGAATGAAATCAATGGAGTGATAAAGCCTTGGACGAGAGGACCATTATATTTGGCTGATGGTGAAGGACGGCATCCCCTGGGATGGAGCGAAATCACTATCACATTGCAAAAACAGTCAATCACCTTACCATGCGTTATTCTATCTGCTCAAAACCTCACTTTTCCTGCTGTCCTTGGTCTTGATTTCATCTCCCTCTCTGGCCTGCAGTTTGATGTGTCAGAAAAACGTTATTGGTTCAAGTTCAACAGAAAACAACATTACAATTTTCTTCAAGAGTTTGCATGTTGGCCAAATGAACCCCATCAGCAACTTGCCTTTTTCTCTGCAGTGGCTCCTGCTACTCTGGTTGCCCTTGGGACCAATGATGAACTGTTGCAGAGGGCAGTTCACACCACACACCTGGATGACTTTGGGAAACAGTCATTGTTATGCCAACTGCGTAACAATTCTGATGTATGTACCACAGAGTTGGGCTGCACGAATGTACTTACTCACAAGATTTACCTTTCTCAAGATGTGCCAATTAAACAAAAACCATATCGAGTCTCACCTGCTAAACTTCAGATGATTAGGGAGCATGTAGATGAAATGTTGGAGAATGACATAATTGAACCATCCACATCTCCATACGCCGCTCCTGTTGTCTTGGTGCCTAAAAAAAATGACCCCAAACTACGTTTTTGTGTCGACTTCAGAAAACTAAATGCAGTCACACATACAGATGCATATCCATTGCCAAACATTCAGGAAATCCTGGAGTCTCTTTCTGGAGCAGTGATTTTCACTACACTAGACTTGAACAGTGGTTACTGGCAAGTCCGCATGGATCCAGAAAGCTGTGAAAAAACTGCATTTGTCTGTCCATATGGCCTCTTCCAATTTAAGGTTATGCCATTTGGCCTGAAAAATGCTCCAGCTACATTTCAACGACTTATGGAAGTAGTATTGGGTGAACTCAGAGGTAAAATTTGTTTTGTATATTTGGATGACATCATCATTTACTCAACCACTTACCATCAGCACAGTGCCGATATACAAGCCGTGTTGGACAAACTTCGTGAAGCCAACCTTACAGTCAACATGAAGAAAAGCCAGTTTTTCCGTTCCTCCATAAAATTTCTGGGACACATAGTATCCTCATCTGGTGTTGAGGTAGATCCAGACAAGATTAAAGCCATTCAAGAATTTCCTGTACCCCAGAATATTAAACAGCTTCAAAGATTTCTGGGAATGGCTGGCTGGTATCATCGTTTTGTGCCTGATTTTTCTGCCTTGACAGAACCACTCAATGCTCTAAAGCGAAAAGGAGTCAAATTCCTTTGGACACCATCTTGCCAAAAATCATTTGATGCTCTGAAAACTCACCTGGTCTCTCCACCCATTCTGGGTCATCCAGATTTCAAACTGCCATTCATTGTTTATACTGATGCTAGTGATGTGGGTTTGGGAGCCGTTCTAGCTCAGCAGACTGGGTTAGGCACCGAGCAAGTCCTGGCCTTTGCCAGCCGAACTCTAAATAAAGCTGAAAGGAACTACTCTACTACTGAGCAAGAATGTCTTGCTGTTGTTTGGGCCATTGAAAAGTGGAGATATTACCTTGAAGGACGACACTTCACCGTTGTGACTGACCATTCACCTCTGATCTGGGTTTTTAAAACTCATAAACCTAGCACTCGGCTGATCCGGTGGGCTCTTCGTCTGCAAGAATTCTCCTTCACAGTGGAATATCGAAAAGGAAAGTATAACACTGTTCCAGATGCTCTGTCACGAGCCCCAATCAATGCCTCTGACCATTCACCAGTTACCTGTGCTGTCGTACTCCGGTCGCAACGTGACACTTCTCACCCACTCCAAGTGACAGATGAGAACATCTGGAAGGCTCAGCAGCAGGATCCTTTCGCACAAAACATTTACCAACAAATAATGGACAAAGGAACAGTACATGAGTCGCCAACAATAAAGTACACTATCCTGGAAGACAAGGTTTACAGAGTTGTTCAATTACCACACAAAACTCTTTACCAAGTCTATATTCCACCATCACTCCGTCAACAGTTACTTCATCACAATCATAATGACCCTTTATCTGGACATTTTGGACGATACAAAACCTACAAACGGTTACAAGCCTTGGTGTATTGGCCGAGGATGAGCATTGATGTTCGGGACTATGTGAGATCCTGTCAAGTCTGTCAAATGTACAAACCTGAAACCCGAAAAGCTCCTGGCAAGTTGCAACAGACAGAGGTGAGTGCACCATGGGAGATGTTGGGCGTGGACCTTATGGGACCCTTTCCACGGAGTTCTACTGGTAATGTCCATCTACTTGTTTTTGTGGATTATTTCTCACGGTGGGTTGAAATGTTTCTCCTCCGCAAAGCTACTGCAGAAATAATTTCCCAATACTTGACCGGAGAGATTTTGACACGATGGGGAGTGCCAACATACATTCTCTCTGATCAAGGTCCACAATTTATTTCTTCTGTATTCGAGGAGACCTGTAAAAGATGGAATCTCACACCAAAGAAAACCTCTGCATATCACCCACAAACTAACCTTACGGAGAGAGTTAATCGCAACATCAAGGCTATGCTCTCATCCTATGTCTGTAACAAACATAAGGGTTGGGATAAATACCTACCGGAATTTCGGTTTGCTTTAAACTCTGCAGTGCATGAATCTACTGGTGTGACTCCAGCTGAGCTCAACATTGGACGACCTCTGAAAGGGCCTTTGGATGCAGAGCTGAGTCCAACCCTTTGTGACCCTGACACACCTGTCTATGCTACAGTAAAACAGATTGCTGAGCTCCGTGAATTTGCTGATGTCAA